TAATGATTTGGCGAAGTCATTCGATGCTGTCGGGCACTGTAAATTCTGTCGTCGTCTGTACACTTAATTTGCCCAAACTATAGTAATCTATACATACAAGTCCTACATTAGTAGCACCTACAAATCAAGAACGAATACTTCCTCTGTTCCAGATTACTTGTGACATTTCTCATTTCATCGACCCCGAAAAATCAATTCTTCACGAAACTCGATGCAACAAATCACGTTTGAAAGATAATGAAAAGTTAGATGGTGTGTCTATTGACTGCAAGGGAGAGAAAGGAAGAATTCGCGCCCAAAAGCAAGAGTGTTCAAACAGGTCCGCATTAAAAATCCGAAATCAATATTTTACTTTTCAATAGTACGGGACCTATGAGCATCGACATCATGAACACTACGCGCGATTGACGTGAGCTCTCCTTTGAGGAGAAGTTGGAGGTAGTCGCCCACCTTCATCAATCCATGTCCACTGGGAAGGTGGCTCGAGGTGCAATCTTGGCAACGTCCCGCCATTTAAACGTACACCGAGTGACCGTCACACGGGTGTGGAACCAATTTCTGCGCAACAACCGAATGCCATCCGCCAAGCTTGGCCGGGTTGGCCGAAAACCTATGCACACTGAAGAAGAGATAACTGATCTCATCCGCGACGTACCTGAGGAGCAGCGACCAACCAAATCATGCGTGACATCGCTCAAACAACCGGTCTCACAGTGTCCACCATCCACCGCAGCTTCCGCAGGGGCACGCTACAGCGACACTCGTCCAGACTGAAACCATTGCTCACCGTTTGGAACATGCTCTGGCGTGTCGAGTTTTGTCGATCGCAAGTCCGTCGCTGCGCTCCGAACAACGCGCTCGCGGTCCCTGCCGACCTCGCCGCCGGCGCAGACGAATCCCCCGATCCTTCAGCCTCTTCATTCGAATTTCACGGCATGCATGACGTTGTGCACCTGGACGAAAAATGGTTCAATGCGGACAAGGACAGGCGAAAGGTCTACCTTGTCAAGGCCAGTAGCTTGAGCGCCGGGCTGTCAAGAGCAAGCGCTTTATTTCAAAAGTGATTTTTTAGGCCGCTGTGGCGCGTCCAAGATTCGACGGCGAGCACGGTTTCTCTATTTGATGGTAAAATCGGCATGTGGCTATTGGTGGAGTTCAGACCAGCCGTCCGTGGCTCGCGCAATCCCATTCTATAAAGGGCATGTTGGAGAACTTCCATCCATTGAACTTGATTGATCCTTGAACTACCTTCACTTGCTGGGGACCAGAGCTGTGTCCATCAATCAATGATACCTTTCTTGTTTTTGATGAATGCGTCGCACAGTCGGCGTCGACACAATGAATTCGTTGCTCCACTGTCAACGAGAATTCGTGCTTGTTTTCCATCAATTGATCCTTCTGCAATCATCAGCTTGTTCTCGCGGGCTTGGTCCTTGCTTTCTGCCACTTTCGCAGAAATCACATCATTTCTTCGTCGCTGTCTTCAATATCTTCCACTTCAGGGTTGTGTTGGTGGCTGGTCTGTCAGCGCTGATTGCTACGTTGGTTTGTTGGTCAGCTGGCAGCGGCTACTTGTACTCGTTGTTCGTTTTTTCGTCTAGCGCCTCAACATTCAGCGATTCTGTGACCCATTCTACCACAGTTGAAGCATCCTCTGGTTGGTCGTTGGTTCGCAAGCGGGATCCTGTTCATTTGGGCGTTATCGACTTCCATGTCGTCTTCTTCTCGTAGGCGCGGCTGTTGCTGAAAGCTACCGTGTCTTGGTCCTGGCGTTGGCTGGTAACGGCGATTTTGATGACCTTGGTTGCGTCCGTAATGTCCTTGGCGATGGTCGCGTCGGTCTTGATGATGGTTTCCTCTGGGGCGATATCCAAGCGAAAACTGTGACCGTTCAAAGTCAAGGGCCGTCTGGATGGCGCTTGTCACGTTGGGGCATCGACGGTACTGTACTCATGTTCGGGTGTGGAGGCCTCGCTGGAAATGGCTGACCTTGTCTCGTTTAGTCATGTCACAGATTTGCGTGCAATTGCGTCAGAACTTGCCAACATAATCAGCTAAGTCATGGCAACGTTCTTGCTTCAGCGCATACAGCTGGTCGCGAAGGCGGTCTTGAAGGTCTTCAGGTTCAAATTCTGCTCGTAGTTCTTGCTTCAGTTCTTGCAGTGTGCTCGGTGACCTGTTCGTCGTGCGCAATCGGTCTTGATACTATGCTGCAGCTTGTCCTCGGAAATTGGTAACCACAATTGCAATACATCGGGCATGGTTTACTTCGTCTTGAGTCGGGTCGATGTTCTTCGCATGAAAGACCACACTACTGCCTACTTAGGACAGTAACTCGAGTGACAAGGGACGCCGAGGGACACCTAGGGACAATGAGGAACCAAGAAGTGCTACCGAACGTAACGACTCCGGTTCTTTTTGGCAGAGGGGCACTGAGTCCGGATAGAAAGCCGGATAACGCGGTGGAGAGGAGACTTGGGAGGTTGGAGGCAAATTGCAGAATGAATTAGAACACAGGATCTATCTCAAGCACATCCTTCCGATGGCTGACGCCATCGCCTAGAATCGTTGAATTTAAGCATGTGGCCTCGTTCATGCTGCTCCTCTTCCTTCGTACGTCACTTAATGCATACTCAACGCAAGAGCTATGACTTGCGGTGAATCTTCTACTCGTAGTTGTCCGATATGAGTTGAGATGGGTCGGGAAGACTCCACATCCTTACACACACCGTGCATAAACTGCTCCTCCGATCCACGCCACGGTGCATTGCACAACCCCTAGCACTCGATCCAGCCCTCGTGTCCGTGTGCGGATTGTGTGGCCACTGGCTTCAGCGAGAACTGTCGGTCATCGTCCACATCAACGGCCAAGACAGAGGTCTGCGCGCGTTCGTGCGCAATTAAGTTCATTTCGTTTGTCGTGATCTGCACGTTACTCGATGTGTAAGCGGGCGCAGAGGAAGGTGCGCCAGACTTGGTAAAGTGGAGAATGAATTAGCAGCGTTAATCCTATCTAACGCTACAGCTAAGGCACGCAAGCCAGTCATTCGAGGGGGCTTGCAAACATGCAGTAATCTTGAAGTGGGCAAGTTCGCCAAGGAGTATTGGCGAACGTCGATGTCGAAATATCCGGATGTGTCCGGATGGTGTAACCCGGTTACACGATGTGCCCCTGACGCTCGAGCTGGGGATGCCCCCCATGCCTAGCGACGGCAAGGTGTCGTCGTATGTGGCAAACGTGCGTCGGCGCATTTGGGAGATGGCGGGTAGCCGCGACGG